TAAAAAAGTGAGTAATTCAGGTTATTTTTCAGTATGACACTATCACAGGTCTGTGCTTACGCTGCTTCATCTCCTTCCCCAGGCTGGTTTTTATTGCTTCTCCCAGCCCCCGGAGCTCCAGCAGTGCTGATCTGGGGCATCTCAGTGTCTCTCTCCTCCCCCACAATCCTAGTTCACAAAAATGTACAGATTTTTTATTGCACTTCTTTATATTCATCTATCTGTAGAATGATGGTTCCATCCAAACTGAAGTTGTCCAACGGGTCGGACTGGGGGCAGTTCTGAACCTGAGGATTTTTAGGTGCTGGCAGAGCTGGTTGGCAATAGGCAAAGGGTGTGCAAGTTCTGAAGGACTGAAGCTGGGAGGGCTCTTGCAAGGTCCCTCTTGCAGGTCAGACTTGAATCCCTCTGTGGGCTGCACAGTAGGTGAGGGGGACCCAAACCAGATGAACATCCACCAGTTCTACAAGTCCCACAGCTCAGCATCCAAGTTCTTGGGGTGTCCAGGGACAGAGAGGAGTGAGCTGGGGAATCTCCCCATTGGTTCTGACAAGTTTAGGTGTTCTAATCAGGGTACTTCTTGCTGGTTTATTTGTAGGAGGAGGGATAGTTCAGAGGTGGCAGAAAGAGTCAAATATCCTTTCTGCAGAATAACTCTGGGTAAGAGCAGCAGCAGGTCGAACTTATTTAAAGGCTTAGATTATTGCAGGAGATCTTGGCAGGGAGGCTGGTGGGGGAGGCTGGGTGAAACTGTGCTTATACAGAGTAGATGCAGTTTTGTCAAGAGTTTCTTCAGTTTATCATGTGGATGAAACAACCAGAGATCCTGTGGGAAGAACTGGAGGTGCAGAATTTTCTTTCATCACGGGTTCCTCACTCTCTTTGGCAAAGCAATCACAGCAGGACTAAGCGGGGACCTCAGCGCCCCGCCGGGTGAATAGAAACCCAGGGGTTGTACATCAGTGTTTATTTCCTTATTTCTCTTTCTCTGGCACGTAATCATGCCCAAACACGTTGTTGTAGAGGTGGCAGGACTGGCTCTTGGTATGGAAATACGATCTGTCACAGGTCATCTACAAGGGCTTGACCTGTCACATGGAAAAGGGGGATGTTCCTGTGGCTGCAGAGGGTGTCAGGTCTGGCTCTCATAGGTAACTCATAGTTCAAACAGAAGATAAAGGCTCATCACAGAATCACGGGATGATTTGGGTTGGAAGGGACCTCCAAAGGTCATCTAGTCCACCCCTCCTGCCACAGGCAGGACATCTTCTCTAGACTAGGTTGCTCCAAGCCCCATCCAACCCGAACACTTCCAGGGATGGGGCAGCCACAACTGCTTTGATACAGGAGCTGGAGGTGGCACGGACTGTTCTGTGCACTGAGTTCCTGTAATGGCCTCTTCTGGGCTTGGCAATTATGAAGCTCTTTCCAGCAGGACACTCCACACTTGGAACAGAGGATTTCACTGTGGAGGGGAGAGTTCTGTGCATACTGAGGCAGAGGTGCAGACCCAGCTCTGCTGTTGAGAGACGGGCAGTGTGTTGGAATGTGACACAGAGGGGTGACTGCCTGACAGCACCACCTCCTTTAGAGCCCTTCCCTTAGCTTGTCTCAAGTTCATCTGTGTCTCTGTACTTTGTTCCATGAAGTTGCTGCTTTTATAGATACCCTGTTTTTTCATGGACAGTGCCTAAGAGTTTCCAAAATTACAGCTCAAAATGAACTGCCAGGGAAGGCAGAGGAATTCAGGCTTGAGTCTTGTGTTAGTTTTCCTGGACCATGTTTGTCATACATCATCTGGAGTGCCTTGATACCTGCATGGATTGACTTTGTGATCACTTTCCCTTGGCCTGGAAAACAAAAGAGTATTCCTACCCATCTTGCTGGGAGCTGGATGCAGTGCTGGTGTTAGTGGCAGAACTGTGGTTCTGGTTAATGCAGCCCTGGCAGAGGAGGCTGCTGACAGCTGGGATGTGGAGAAGAGAATAGAATCATTCTGGTTCGGTTGGAAAAGACCTTGAAGATCACCCAGTCCAACCATTTCCCCAGCCCTGCCAAAGCCACCCCTGCCCCACATCCCTCAGCACCATCTCCAGGGCTTGGAAACCCCCCCAGGGATGGGGACTCCCCCCCTGCCCTGCAGAGCCCGACCCCCCTGGCTCCAACCTCCTCTCAGCAGCTGCAGAGCCAGCAGGTCTCCCCTCAGCTCCTTTGCTCCAGGATCAGCACCCCCAGCTCCCTCAGCTGCTCCTCACAAGGTTTGTTCTCCAAGGTGTGTCCTGTCCTGGTGTGGTTGGTCGCTGTCAGCCCCTTGCATCCCACCCAGGGGCACCTTCCCCAGCCCCGCTGTGTTCAGCCAGGTCCCAGCAGGGTGACACAGGGTGAGGTGGGTGACACAGGGTGAGGTGGGTGACACAGGGTGACACGGGTGACACAGGGTGACACGGGTGCAGCCTGTGCCCTGTCAGGCCACCCTTTCCCTGCAGGAGGTGGCCGGGCTGGCTCGGTTCAGTGGGGCTGCAGGTGCCAGTAGAAAAAAGCGTGGGGCGTGCAGGTGCCAGTAGGTGTGAGCTGCCTGCAGCTGGGCATGGTGGCCAGTGAGTGTGAGAGTGTCCTAGCCCTGGGACTGTCCCCAGCCCTGGGACTGTCCCCAGCCCTGTGCCCAGCCCTGTCTGCAGCCTGCTGCTGTGCAGGGCAGTGAGCGTGGAGCTTTGTTCCTTGCTGCTGGGTGCTGGGTGCACCCTGTCACTGGTGGAACCCCCTCCATCCCCAGGCAGACCCCCCATCCCTGGGCAGGACCCCCCCTCCAGGCAGAACC